AGTAGAAAGCCTCATCTTTCTCCCGTGGAGCGGCTGGTAGTTTCGAACCGCTGACCTTAAGATTCGCAGCCCGATTCGTAACCACTACGCAGTAGATGTTGCTTATTATTGTCAAAGTAGTGATTATTGAACTATTTGTGTGATTATTAATGACTGTCTTCCCAAACCATAAACTCTTTAAATCAGAAACTTTGTTTAGTACTTATTCATCTTTATATTCCACAACCAAGTCGGTTCTGACTCATAGAGACCGAGGAGCGCCTGGTGAGCTTCAACTGCTGACTTTGAGGTTCAAGCTGATCTTGCGCTCCAGCGCATTTAACCTGCAGCGCTACACCAGGACTCCAATACTAACAATTGTTGTTGTTAAGTGGGTCCGACCCATAGCGACTCTGTATAGGGTTCCAAGGAGCAGCTGGTGAGCTTGAACCACCAACCTTGTAGTTTAAAGGACTTTGCAGTCTGACACATTAACCCACAGCGCCACACCAGGACTCCAATACTAACAATTGTTGTTGTGCCTTCGAGTCGGTTCCTACCCATAGTGACCCTGTACAGGGTTTCCGAGGCTGTAAATCTTTAAGGGAGCAGAAAGCCTCATCTTTTTCCCGCGGAAAAGCTGGTAGTTTTGAACTGCTGACCTTGAAGTTTACAACCCTAGTTTTAACCACTACGCTAGGAACTCTGTAAATAATGAACGAGGATGGAGAACGGTCCAAAACTAAGAGACTGAAGGAGGAGCTAGCGTAAGGCGTCAGGCGTCAACGCCGTCCTTTCGAGGCCCCGCCCCCAAGATTGACAGCCTCTAGGCGCGCTCTAGCGGCCGGCGGTCACGTGGAACTCAGCTGAGCGGCCGCGGGGGAAGCAAGGCCAAGATGGCGACGGTGAAAACAGCTGTACCTCGGCGACTGGTGGGCTTGGCGTCCCTCCGGGCTGTAAGTGCCTCGCCCGCTGATGGGGCGGCCTGCAGGCACCATGAGGGTCGGGGTGCGAGGTTTGACCTGTGGCTGCTGCTTTCCCAGAGCCAAAGTCCGACAGCCCTTCAAGCCAGAGTCGTGAGAGCCTTGGAGTCAGGCCGCTCCCCGACCCACATAAATCTCTCTTAAGGGACGTAGGGAAACTGAGACCGGACGAGGCGGAGCAACTTGGCCTGGGTCACCTAGGTGTCTCATTTCCAGTCCAAGTCTCTGGCCGGCGACCTTGGCTCCTTTCCTCTAGTTGAGCCCCAGATCCCTCTAAACTTCTCATTAGTGAAAAATCACAAACACTCCTTACGCAAAGTGGTCCCCGCCGACGTCTGGGACACTCTCCCAGCGTGCGGAGCAGGACTTGGGCCGCGTGACGCCAGGCTGTCTTTCCCCTGAAATTGTACTTTGGGCCTGTTCGACCCTGATGGCTATCCATTCTCCAGTGGTCAGTGAGCCGGTGGAAAGCATAGGAGACCTAGGTGTGTAAAGGGTTGAGTGAGGTGTGTTGGTTAGAAATCAAGCTGTGTTGTCCCAGTAGTTCTGCCACTTGCTAGGTCAAGTAACAGTTTTTTTTACTCTAAACCTCAGGTTTTAGAAATGGGTAACAGTAATCTCAGGGTTGTTTTGGAAGCTAAAGAAAGCGTAGGTAAACCATTTAGCATTGTTTGGTTCTTAGTAAGGGAATAATCAATGGTGATGTTATTACTTTGGATAGGGAGTTAGCATTTAGAGCTGTATATGGGGGAGAACCCCAGCAAGATGGATTGGCCAGGTGGCAGCAATAGTGAGGTTGGCCCAAGATCGGGCAGTGTTTTATTCTGCTGTGCATAGGATCGCTATGAGTCCGTACCGACTTGATGGTACCTAACAACAACAGTAATGGGGGAGAAATTACACTCCCCTGTCAGTGGCCCCTTCACAGAAAGCCACTTTTAATGCCCACCTGCCTCCACTCATGGGGATAGGCTTCTAGTGATTCACTGGTAAAATGTATGCCTTCCATATGGGAGACTGAGGTTCAATTCACCCAGTGTATCTTACACAGTCACCAGTCATTTGTCAGCAGAGGCTGTTATATTGCTATGATGACAAACTGGTTTTGACAGAGTTTGTAGGCTAAGACTAAGAAGAAAGGCCTGGCAATCCACTTCCCCAGAATCAGCCAATGAAAAACCATATGGATCACAATGATCTGATCTGATTGTACATGGGGTGTCCATGAGTCAGACTGGCTCACGGCTACTAACAACAAAATGAAGGTGGAAATTCCAACTTGAAGAATTAAGAAGATGAAATGAGGTGATGGGTATTAATGTACTTTGAGGGGGGGGTGGTGTAATGAGATGGGTGGTGATAGGTCCTTCATGGAGTGACTTAGCATAATCTTGGCATAAAAACCAGACCTGAGTTCAAGTCCAAGCTTGTTCATTTCCTAGCTGTGAATTTCAATTGTCTTTCTGAGGCCCTGTTTTTTCCTCCATTGAGCTGGGACAATGATAGTCCCTGTCACTCTCATTAGGTGGTGGTGGTGGTTAAGTGCCATCGAGTCAGATCCAACCCATAGCAACCAGTATAGGGTTTCCAAGGAGCAGCTGGTGAGCTTGAACCGCTGGCCTTACAGTTCAAATGGCTTTGCAGTCTGGCGCATTAACCCACAGTGCCACACATTAGGTGGTGGTTAGGGTTAAATAAGGTACTGGTGCCTGTTGTTAGTATTGGACTTCAGTTCATATTAACTGTTATTGATGTTGGTACACCATAGCACAAGGGACTGTGGCATAGAACTTGTGTGGTTGGAGGGGACCACCTCTGAGCAGAATTTTACAGAAGGAAGGAATGGCTGATTTGTAGAACAGAAGGTCTGGGAAGGACTGAAGGGTAGCAAAGACACAACATGCCCTAGGAGTTAGCATCCAGAGCCACACTGTCCTGTTCAGATTTTGGCTTATTAATAGACTTAAAAGTTACTCAGTATGGAGGAATAAGGATTATGGTGGTGGTTGTTAAGTACCTTCGAGTCAGTTCCAACCCTTAGCAATCCTGTATAGTGTTTCTGAGGAGCAGCTGATGAGCTTGAATGTGGACATTGAGCTTCAAACCAACTTTGCAGTTTAGTGCATTAATCCCAGCACCGTACCAGCCAGCACCACACCAGCAATGAAAGTAGTTCCTATCTAATAAATGTGCTGAAGGTTACAAGTCCTTGTTGTTAAGTGCTGTCGAGTCACTTCTGACTTACAGCGACCCTATGCAGAGTTTCTAAGGAGCAGCTGGTGAGCTTGAATGCGGACATTGTGGTTCAAACTGACTTTACAGTCCAGCGCATTAACCTACAGCGCCACACCAGGACTCCTTACAGTACCTGATAAATGTGTCCTGGTGTGGCGCTGCAGGATAATGTGCTGGACCAAAGGTTACTTTGAGCTACAAGGTCGGCAGTTCAAACCCACCAGCCATTACTTGGAAACCCTATACATGATCGCTGTGAGTCAGAACTGACTCAGCGGCACTTAACAACAATAATAAATCTGAGTTGTCTTTCTGTTGTTATGTGATGGATTGTTAAAGGGAAAGAAGTGAAAGTTAGTTTATTCTGATCTAATAAAGAAATTTGGAACCAGGTTTTACCTCTCTCAGCTACATTCAACAGATACTTATTGAAACCCTGCAGTGGTCCAGGGATGTGGAGACACAGCAGTGAATAAAACAAAATCCCTGCTCTAATGAAATTTACATTCCAGGGGGATAATTCTAGGGTAATGTACCAGCAGAGGCCGGACATCCCTGTTGGCTCAAGATTCACATTGCCAAGGACCTTCCAGTCTAGCCTGGTAACTTCGTGAGATTCAGTGGCTCTTCACCTTAGTCTCTGGGAAGCATTGCTGGCTAAAACCAAGGCCAGTTCAAGTGAGTTGTTCAACTTACAGTTGATTCATGAAAAACAGTTGCCATCAAGTCATTTCCAACTCAGAGACCCCATGTCTGTCACACTTAGAAATGAGCGCTATAGGGTTTTCAGTGGCTGCTTGTTCTAAAGTAGGTCATCAAGCTCTCCAAGGTGCCTCTGGATGAACTTGAATCTCCAACTTTTCTTTTTAGCAACTGAATGCATTAACTGAATCAGGGTCTCAGTCTTAGCTCTATGTCCCTCCTCCCATGTTCAGAATTTGAGGATTTGGGATTATTAGCAGATTGCACAGTGTAGCTCTTCCCTTGTTTCCTTGCCCCATTGCAATGTTTATCCCAATTAAATCTGGTAAAACAAAGTTAATTTGAAGAGTTATAGTGTTAAAGGTAGCACTGTAATAGAACAGTCTTCCTACACACACTAGCGGTACCTCCCACACTCAGTAATTGCCCTCCGCTGGGGCCGCTGTGCTTTTCGTGCATGTATTTGGTGTTTAATGATTGCCTACTTTACCATGGCAGCCCCCGTAGTGCTGTGGGTTAGACATTAAACTGCTAACAGCCAGGTCTGCAGTGCAAACCCACCAACCACTCCAAGGGAGAAAGATGTAGTCTCAGAAACCCTGTGTATGAATCAACTCGATGGCACTGGGTTTGTTTTTGGGGTTTACTTTGCACAAAGCTCAGCGCCAAACATGAGAAATGAAGTGGAAATCCAGACATGGTGGAAACATTAAGTAGGCACTATTGCTAGTGCTCTGAAAGAAATACTTGTAGTCCTGTAGTGGAGAATAATCAGGTGGGAGCTGCTTAACAAGGTGGTTAGAGGAGGCCTCTATCAGACTGAAAGGTAAGAGGGAGCCAGACAAGAAGAGGCACCCCAGGCAGTGGGAACATGATTCCAGAGGCTCTGCTTGGAGACAGTGGGCTAGTGGGCCTATGACATAGTGGCCTTACCGGACGAGTTGGTGGGCAGTAGGAGCAAGTGATGAGGTCTGAGGTTGGCAGAAGGCCATGGGGAGTGAAGGAAGAGGATGACCTCAAGGTCAGTGGTTCAAGCTCACCAGCTGCTCCTTGGAAACCCTATGTAGGGCCGCTATGAGGCAAAATTAACTTGATGGCACTTAACAACAACAAGTTTTCGATGCTTATGAGAGGTGCAGTGGAAATACCTGCAGCTGGAAATAAGAGTCTCAAATCCTAGGGACAGCCTATGCTGGGAGCATGACTATGACTCTCTTGCTCATTTCTATTTCAAGAGTGAAATATTTTTAATTCTAAAGCAGACAAATGTGATTAAACAGGTGAGAAATACTGCTTCTTAACTCAATATTCGGGAACACAGTGACTCCATGTGATCAGCACTGGACTTCAAACCGCAAGGTCCATGGTTTGAGTCCACCAGCCATTCTGCAGGAGAAAGATGAGACTTTTTACTTCCTCTAAGATCAAAGCCTTGGAAACCCTATACAGAGTCGCTATGAGAACCAACTCAGCAGCATTGACAACAACAACTCAGTCTGAATGCAGATGAATCCAGTCTTCAGATTTGCCCTGCCTGGAGAAATATGACAATCTCGTCCATTGCTTCTTATTTTCTCTTTTAAACTAAAGGTCAGCACCTCGTCTGTGGGCACTTTCCCAAAGCAGGTGAAAATTGTAGAAGTTGGTCCCCGAGACGGACTACAGAATGAAAAGGTAAAGATGGAATAAAACCAAAAACAATTTTTCTAGCATCTGCTTTGAGTGATACATGTGGTAGGTATAGCAGGAGTAGACAGAACGGTGTAAAACATTATCATCACTTTGGAAGAACTTAAGGCAGAGTGGGCGGAGGACAGGCAGGCTCCCGTGACAGTCAATCTAAGATCGCCATGCAACAGGTATGGTGTCCCCAGGTCCGTCCTAAGACGCTAAGGTCAGTTAGCTCTCTTTTGCTACAGTATAGGCATGATAATGATGGTGGATTTGGTAAGAGGAGTCCCTAGATTCTGGTAAGTGACTGGATGTGGCGGAGGAGGAGAGAGAGAACTCATAGACTGAACTCATGAAGGTAAAGTCCCAGCTAAGTTGGGAGATGGAAACGGAGGTGTGATTCTTTGGGGGTACCATCACAAAGAACCCAGAAGATAGATTATGTCTGTGCCCTCTGAGACAGCACATTGCTTCCAGTTTGTTTTATGATGCACCATACATTAACACTCAGATAAGGACAAGTCTGTGTGGTAGAAATGATTGTTTCCATGAAGATATAACCCCTTTTCAGGTGAGAAGCTGCCAAATGCTATCTGTAGCACTTGAAGGCAAGCCTTATCCCTACTGTTGGCAGGAATTACATGTAACTTCATGTTGCTGTTTACAAGTTGAAACCGTGAGGGGGCTTCCTGTGGCAAAAGCACAGTCACATGACTTAGGGGTTTTGAACAGACAGGCACTGCATTCTGAGGCCACCTCCCCCACCCCCCAGCACTGTTGACCTGTTTTTTTCTGATGTTTCTCTCTCCATTATAGAATATTGTACCTACTCCAGTGAAAATCAAGCTGATAGACATGCTTTCTGAAGCAGGACTCCCTGTTATAGAAGCTACCAGTTTTGTGTCTCCCAAGTGGGTTCCCCAGGTGAGTGCCAACCCCTAGTGAGAGACACTTCTCAGTTGAAAGAGATGGGAAGGTTTGCATTTGTCTTAGAAGTAACTAGAAGCTGAGAACATAAGTTTCTGGGTTCCTGACTTTGAGGTTACTCATAGCAGTGTGGCACACAGTAAAAGTAATGTAACCTGGGAGTCAAGAGACCTAGATTCTGTCTTGCTTCTGCTCATGACTTGCTTGGTGACCTTGAAGAGGTCTTTTCTCTTCTGCAATTGGAAATGACCTTGTAGGTCTCTTCTGGCTCTGAAAGTATAGAATCTATGTACGTTTTTCTGCATTTGTCAAAGGGGAAGACTGGTGACTCCAGCTTCACAGAGGAAGTCAGGTAGGGAAGAAAGACCCTGTTTAAATTAAAAAAACAAAACATAGTTCTCTAATTCAGAGGGTTTGAGCGCAGGACTAGGCTCAGAGAATGTTGTCAGTAAGTGGCTGGTGGTAGTGGTGCTGCTGTTACTGCTGAAGCGAAGCTGGTGGAATCAGCCATCTGGAGGAATTGGGCCATCACCCAGCTCTGGAGCCTTCCAGACCATCGACACACAAACAGTGAAAGCACTGGGGAGATTCAGCTCTGAAGAAGGACTCAATCTCCAAGGCTTCTGGGAAACAGATTCTGTGATAAAAAGGTTTTCTCTGACTGCCCTTGGTGATGACTTAGAGTTGTCTCCTTCGACTCCCAGATGGCTGACCATGCTGAAGTCTTGAAGGGCATTCAAAGGTTTCCCGGCATCAACTACCCAGTCCTGACCCCAAACCTGAAAGGCTTCCAGACAGCGGTAAGAGGAGTGTTTGCTGGGGCCTCGTGAAATGAGATTGACTACATTTGTCCTTTGCCTTGTCTATGAACTTCTGTCCTCTGCTGTGTATGGGATGTCTGTCTGAATGGCCATCTCCAGTCCTGGAGAGACCCAGGCCAATCCTGGCTCTGCCCCTTTCATTTCTGTGAGCTTAACTAGTTGCTGAACCTGTCTGAGCTTCAGTTTCTGCTTATAAAGTAGGATTAAAGCTGTGAGGATTTCTGAAGGTAAAATGCATGTGAATTGCTTAGCAAGAGCTTGGTATAAGGTGAATGCTTACTCAGTGTTAGCACTTGTTTTTATTGCCCACCTCCTCTTTGGAGAAAGGTAACTAAGCTCTCCACAAGCGTTTCAACAGTTGTTGCTGGTGTCTGTCCACTTGCTTAACGATTTTTCACAAGAATGCCATCGGAGATGTTTGTTCTACATTTAGGACATGGGCTTTCAGGTTGATGATGGCAGTGGCAGTTTCTTTGGGGAAAAGAGAAAGGTTTTTCCTTTTCCTTGAACTATAGTTCACATACCGTAAAAATCACAAGACAAGTTCTTTTTGCTTCTCTGTGCCAGTGTCTGATAAGAAACATGCTGAAAGGAACTCACCTGACTGTTGACAGGTTGCTGCTGGAGCCAAGGAAGTGTCCATCTTCGGAGCTGCCTCGGAGCTCTTCACTAAGAAGAACGTCAACTGCTCCATCGATGAAAGTTTGCAGCGCTTTGATGGAATTTTACAGGCAGCTCGGGCTGAAGGTATTCCTGTGAGAGGGTGAGTCAGGGCACAGCAGTGCTGCGTTTCTTTTCTTCAGAACCCTTCTGGAATGGGGCTAGGTTCTCATTAAAGTGACTCTCCTCACGCAATCTCCTAACCCTGCATTGAGACAGCCCAAGCTCCATACCCAGACATCTTTTTCCAAGTAAGTTTGGACCGAAGTTCTAGCAAGTGGTTTCTCTGAAGCCTGAGTTTGGGGTTTGTTCCCTCAGCAGGGGTGTGAAGAGGAAGTTAGTAGGACAAGGCTCTGAATGAGGTCAGTGTGGTCTTGGCTTCACTGCTATCTCCTCATATGTCCTTCTTTCAGCTCCAAGTCTACCCGAGGCCTTTAAGTTTCTACTATCTCATCTTTCATAGCACAACTGTCCAGTATGCATAGGGCGCTCTGCCTACTTTACAGATGTCAAAACTGACACTCAGAGAGGATGAATAACTTACTTTAAGACTATATAACTATCCAAATTGTGGCCATAGTGTTCTTTCAAAAGTACACCTCGGATTGTATCTCTTTCTGGTTCAGAGTGACTCCTCTGAACAACAGGGTTCAGACTTTTCCACATGGCACACAAGGCCCCATGGGATTTGGCTCCAGCCACACTCTGCAGCCTCATTGTTCTTTGCACCCCATTAGCCACTGCTTCCTCTGCAACCTGAGCTCTCTTGACCTTTGCACTTGCTCTCTGTAGACCCAGACCCTCTTCCTCCTCTGTCCTCTTTCTGTTCACACTTCAGTTCTCCAGTGGGTGCCAGCTCCTCCAAGCACCTTTCCATGCCCCATTTCTTGGAGTTAGTGTGGCTCCTCTGGGATCCCATGGTCCATGAATGTCCTCCACTACAGCACTGAACTGTTTGTTGGATTCCTCTGAGTCCCCATGAGGGAGAGCCTGCATCTCTCTCAGTCCCTGAGGTGTTCCTGTGCAGATCAGTCAGGGAAGCTAGGGTTGCCCACTTGGGAGTCGGGTCTTCTTAACTCCCGAGCCTGTGCAGTTTTCTCAGCAGCTCATAGTTTCATGCTCAGCAATGTGTGGAGAATAATAAGTGGGAGAAATAAAGTGGAAAAGTACACTGAGATCCTTGAGTCTGGAATTACTTACCCAGCAAACATTTATTATGCCTCTTACTATGCAAAACACTTTGTTTTAAAACTCTTAAGAGTTTTAAAGGTGCCTTGGCTTCAACACAGTGGCTCCATACGATCAGCACTGGACTGTGAACCAGAAAGTTCACAGTTGAACCCACCAGTCGTTCCATAGGATAAAAATGAGGCTTTTTGCTCCTGTGAAGATTTTAAGCCTCAGAGATCCTACACAGGGTCGCTATGAGTCAAAACCGACTCAACGGCACTTAACAGCAACAACTCCAGTGGGACGGTGGGAATAGATGCTGTCTACATCTAAACTCTTTACTACAGTCTGCAGGACTCCTGCCCACCCTGCAGCCTCTCTCAGACTTCCTTGCCCCTTGCTGTCTGTGCCTCAGCTGTGTCTTGAACATGCCTAATAACCCTTTTCCCTCTCAGAACCTTTACACTTGCTCTTCTCAGCCTGGAATGTTCTTTCTGCAGGTCCTCTCCCTTTTCTCTGCTCTAACATCATGGCCTGGACAGTTTAGTTATTCTTGGCCTCCTCTAGTTGCTCCTAGTTGCTAAAGGCATGGTGATAAGCAGGGCTCCAGAAACTGATGGAGTACTGATTGAGATGCTTCAGCAAACAGAGCAGCGTGCACTGGATAGGTGCTCACTCCTCTCTGCCAAGAAATTTGGAAGACAGCTACCTGGCCAATCCGCTGGAAACAATCCATATGTATGTGCATTCCAAAGAAGGGCAGTCAAAGAGAATGCATAAATTGACATTCTAGCAAAATTTTACTGAAGAAAATGAAAAAACGACTCTAGCCATACATATAGAAGTTCAAGCTGGATTCAAAAGAGGATATAGAACAAGGGATTTCTTTGCCGATATCAGATGGATCTTGACCAAATACAGAGAATACTAAAAAGATGTTTACCTCTATCTTACTGGCTAGATGTACTGGACTGTGTGGATCTTAACAAATTATGGATAACGTTGCAAAAACTGGGAATTCCAGACACTTAATTGTGTCATGTGGAACTGTATATACATGGATCAAGAGGCAATTGATCAAAAAGACCAAGGGGATACCGCCTGCTGTAAAATCAGAAAAGCGTTGTATTTGTTTATCTTACATATTCAGTCTATGTGCTGAAATAATCTGAGAAGAAGAATGTTATATCAGGATTGGAGGAAGATTCATTAACAGCCTGCGATGTGTGGATGACACAGTCTTTCTTTGCAAAAGTAAAGACTTGTAGCACTTACTGATGAAGGTAAAATCTGAAACCTCCAGTATGGATTCGATTTAAACAAGAAGAAAATGAAAGTCTTTGCAACTGGACCAGTAAACAACATCATGACAAATGGTGGAGTCAAGGATTTCAGTCTTACTGGGTAAGTAGCCATAGAAGCATCAGTCATGAGACCAAATGATGTATTATATTGGGCAAATCTGCAAAAGACCTCCGTAAAGTGGTAAAAATGTCACCTTGAGGCCTGAGGTTCACCTGACCCAAGTCATACTATCTTCAGTCATCTCATATGCATGTTAGGAGTCCTGGTGCAGTGCCTTAGGATCAACACTGGACTCCTAACCACAAGGTTGGCAGTTCAAACCCATGCGTCACTCCTCGGAAACCCTGTACAGGGTCACTTATGAGCCACTTACATGGCATTTAACAATAACAACAGCAACATGTACACATGGAAACTGGACAATGGATAAAGATCAGAGACAAATTTGACTTGTGGTGTTGGCGAAAACTTGACTACCCCACACCCTGCCAGAGAATGACCAGATCTGTCTTGGAAGAACAGCCAGAATGCGCCTTAGAAGTGAGGATGGTGAGACTTCATCTAGCTTATTTCAGACATGTCAGCGGGAGGGACCAATCACTGGCGAATGAAGAGGGTCAGCTAAAGTGAGGCAATTGGATCAATGAGATAGATTGCCATAGTGACTGCAGAGGATGACTCGGGACCAGACAACATCTTGTTCTGTTTTACATAAGGTTGCTAAGAGTTCGAGCCAACTTAACAGCAGGGAACAGCAGTAGCTGTTCCTATCACATCTCCCTTTCCTTCCTAGTCCAGCACTTTCTGAGATGGTATCACATATTTGATTGCGTCTATTGGTTGTCTCTCTACCTAAAAGCCAACTTCAGCATGTTCTCAGTCTTGCTCAATGTTCTGTACCCAGTGCCTCACTTATAGTTTTTGTTGTTAATTGCCATTGAGTCGGTTCTGACTCATAGTAACCCTATAGGATTTCCAAGGAACAGCTTGTGGATTTGAACTGCCGACCTTGTGTTTCAGTCCAGTGCTTATCCTGCAGTGCCACACCAGAACTCCATAGTAGACAGCTTGATAAATACCAATTGGATGAGTATCACTGGAGTAGCCAAACCATTCACCCTCAGCCAGTCCAGCCTGATAGTGATTCATATCCGACCCAGATCTTGTTTCTTCTTCCGTTTCATCCAGACCTCTGTGTCCTGGGAGTGCTGGCCCCAATTACCCCGGTGCATGGTTCTGCTTTATGTCAACGTCATACATATTGTACACCTTGGGTGCCTGCTCATATTGCCCTCTTTAGTTTCTCCTCCTTGGCCTGTCTTTAATTCTTACTGAAAATCCTCAGGTCTCCTGAGGTTTAAGCAACTCCTGTTTCCTTAGTTGGCCTCCTTTCCTTCAATACCATGGCTTTTTACTGCCCCCTGCTGGCGTTAAGTAGCATTACCTACGTTTGGCCTCCACTCTGATTAACCTTTGCACTAGACTATGGACCACAGGGAGTCCTGGTGTGGCACTGTTGTTTAATGCTGTAGATTGCAAAGTCAGTTTGAACAAGGTCGCGGTTCATGCTCACCAGCCTTTTCTAGGAAACTCTATACAGAGTCACTATCAGTCAGAACTGACTTGACAGCACTTAACAACAATGAACCACAAGTTCAGTGGTTCAAACCCACTAGCTGCTCCTTGAAAACCCTGTACAGAAGTGGGGTGGTGGTGGTGGTAATGTGCCATGGAGTCAGTTCCAACTCAGCGACCCTATACAGGGTTTCCAAGGCTATAAATCTTTATGGGAGAAGAAAGTCATCTTTATCCCATGGAATAACTGGTAGTTTTGAACTGCTGACCATGAGATTAGTAGCCCGACTCATAACCACTATGCTGTTTCCCAAAACGTGTAACATTACTCATTGCTCGTACAAAATTATCAGCTTAAACATTAGTCTGTTATATTTGGTCAAACATTTAACTCACTCCTAATCCTGGTGGGGCACTGCGGGCTAATACGCTAAACTGCAAGGTTGGTTTGAACCACAAGGTTGGTGGTTCAAACTCACCAGTTGCTCCTTGGAAACCCTATACAGGTACATTATGGGTTGGAACCAACTCTACGGCACTTAACAACAACAATGTGATGGCTGGAACTGTAGGGCCTTGGCAGGGTCAGACCAAATGATTTCATGGGCCTTATATGGCCCACAGGGGTCCTGGTGAGGCGCTGTGGGTTAATGCCCCAGACTGCATAGCAGTTTGAACTGCAAGGTCAGTGGTTCAAACTCACCAGTTGCTCCTTGGAAACCCTAAACAGGGTCGCTATGGGTCAGAACCGACTCAGTGGCACTTCACAACAACAACATACGGTCCGCAGGTCTAACGTTCCCCACCCCTGCTGCACAGGGTCTCTGAGTTGGAACCGACTCTAGGGCACTTAACCACAACTGACTAGCCTTTCAGTCCCACTCCGCCTCCTCCCAGCTTAAGGTTTTCTGACTGTGGGCCCTGCCTCAGCCCTGTTGTCCAGAAAGCTCAGGGGCACTGACTTCAGTCCTCCCGTCTTCCCTCAGGTATGTCTCCTGCGTGCTCGGCTGCCCCTATGAAGGGAAGATCTCCCCGACTAAAGTAGCTGAGGTGTGTTTTTGCTGACTTGGCTGTCTCCAAGTGTATATTCCTCTTTCCACCTTTCCTAATGGGTCACCTAGTTGCTTTATTAGGTCCCTGAACTTGCTCCCTGGAAGCTATCTCCTGGCCAGGCACGTGGTCATTGAAGCCTGTCCTCTAGCCCAGAGCAAAAGAAGAGCCTCTGCTTCCGTTACCCGCTTGTGGTCGGTGGGCAGATGATAATTAAGCACTGAGGAGGGACCCCTGTAGTCTCATCAAAGATGCCACACTCCGATATCCTTGGAGCAGCATCCAAATCAGCACTGAGAAACCCATGAGCATCACTAAGTCCTCAAGCCTGCCCTGTACATTTAGTATTGGTTTCCTTTTTAATGTTGAGGAAGACTAAATACCTTGCCACCCGGGTTGTGATTGGGACTGAAACCCAGTTTTGTCCACCTCCAAAGAACACTTGTTTTTCCGACTCCTGGTCACACCAAATATAGGGACCCGGGTTGTGCCAAGTGGTTGCTGAACTTCAGGATCTGGTCTCACAGCGCCAGGCCCTGCTGGAGCCCTGTGACAATAACAATAACTGTTATTGTCTTAAAAAACAATACTGTTTTTCAGAAGCTCGGAAATGTTAAGATCCTTGCCTGAGGCCCCAAGACTGTAAGCTGCAGACCAGGGATTTGACTCTGCTGTTTCTGCTGCTTGCTGCGTCGGCACTGGTGGAAGAACAGCACTGTCTTCACTTGACAGACCACTGCTGAGTGTTGTCTGTATACCTGGCCTGGCTGTAGCATACTCTGCCTTGTCTGGCAGCCTGGGTAGGCCAGTGTCTCCTTGGCTGGGGCCTGGTCCACTGTAGTCTTGGCAGCGATCTTTAGGGGCGTGCACATAAGACTCATGACTTCACAGGTCTTATTGCTGAGATTGTGGAGTCCTGATGTGGTGCTGCAGGTTAGTGAGCTGGACCGCAAGGTCAGCAGCAGTTCAAGCTCACCAGCTGCTCCTTGGAAACCCCATACAGGGTTGCTATGAGTCAGAACCAACTCGACAACTCTTAACAATTGCTGAGGTTGTAGGTCCCCGGGTGGTGCAGATGGTTTGAAATCAACTACTTATGTAAAGGAGTCCTGGTGTGGCCCTGGGATAACGCACTGGACTGCAAGGTCAGTTTCAACTGCAAGGTCAGCAGTTCAAGTTCACCAGTTGCTTCTTGGAAACCCTATACAGGGTCACTATGATTCAGAACTGACTTAAAGACACTTAGTAACAACAAAACACTAATCTAAAGGTTGGTAATGCAAACTCAACCAGAAGTGCTGCAGGGGAAAGTCCTGGCAACCTGCTTGGATAAATGTAGCAGTCAGGAAAACCCTGTGGAACAGTTACACTCTGTAACACACGGGTCTCCATGAGTCAAAATGCACTCCACAGCAGTGGGTTTGATTTGCCTTTCATTTCTGAGGCTAGAACTACGTAAACAGAATCCATTTGGCTAGTTCCAGCACCTGGGAGCAATAGTACTTGGAGGTTGTGAGTCAAGGACTGAGTTTGAGAGACTTGGGCTCTGCACCCCAGATGGCTGTTCTCTTTTTGCTCTCAGCAGAATGAGGGTTATAGTCCTAACCAAACCGTGAGGGGCCATGACCTAACAGGGTCACGGAGGTGCTCTGCCCAGGCCGAGACCCCCGGACCCTGAACCCTTGGGCTCTGTTTGGTGGAATGTGGTGTCCTCAATGCCTGCTTGCTTCTCCAGGTTGCCAAAAAGCTGTACTCATTGGGCTGCTACGAGATCTCCCTGGGGGACACCATTGGTGTGGGCACCCCAGGGGTCATGAAGGACATGCTATCTGCTGTCATGCATGAGGTGCCTGTGTCTGCCCTGGCTGTCCACTGCCATGATACCTACGGACAGGCCCTGGCCAACACCTTGATGGCACTGCAGGTAATCTGGTGTGCCCAGGAGAAAGGCGTGTTTGTTCCTGTTCTACCAAGGGGTTTCGTTGCTTCTTCCAGCAAACGTTATTGATACCCTGAGTTGGACACAGTAGACAGATGTGTGGCTTACCTCTGTCAGGGGATCACATGCTAGTCCTTCTGCATCATGACAAATGCCAAAGAGAGGGAAGCATGGGAGCCTGTCCCAGCTGGGGAGGCCAGGGAGGATCTGCAGGAGAGACGAGGCCTGAATAAGGCTTGTAGGATGTGAAAGGATGGGACGATTGGAAGATGGAAGAGACAAGGTGATCTGGCGGAACCACATTGTAAGACTAAGGTGGGGTTACAACTTTATATAAAGTGGCATCGCTAAGAAGGTGACATTTCATGACCTGAGGAAAGCCAAGGAGTGGGTTGGCATGGGGGAGTATCTCAGGCATGGGATCAGCACATGCAAAGATCCCGAGACAGGGTGTGCTGGTCGTGTTCAAGAATATGGCATATGGCAGGGAAGCATATGGCAGACACTGGCGCGCAAGGCCAAATCAGGAGGGCCCTGCAGCGGGAACAGTTGTGAGGCAAGATAATCTGACATGTGAAGTAGGAGCTGCCTGTTGGCCTAACTGTAAGAATCCAGATTCAGCATCTGGGCTGGTCTAAACATGTTGGCATCACCAGCATGGGTGTTCAAAAAGTAGCTTGAGAAGCAATCTGAGGAGCAAGCTTTAAAGGTCGGGCCTAAGGACGATTTAAGGAGCTCTGGTAGCTTAGTGGTTATGAATCAGGATGCTATCCTCAAGGTCAGCATTTCAAAAATACTAGCTGTTCCACGTGAGAAAGATGAGGCTTTCTGCTCCCGTAAAGATGTACAGCCTTGGAAACCCTGTTCAGGGTCACTATGAGTCGAACCAACTCCACAGTACTTAGTAACAACAAGGACAATTTGAAAGAGATAGGCTTGAACCCTCAGGAGAGGCCAGGGTGTAGGGAAGAAAACCTGGAGGACTGGAAGCCAGCTGGAGAAAGCTCACGGTGCTGATAGGTCAGGTACACAGAGGCCTGGGAACTGACTTTTAGGTTTAGCTACGTGGAGGTCAGTGGTGACCTTGACTGGAGCCATTTCAGTGAAGGACAGAGTGCTCAGAGTGGGTTCAGTTGAGAACAGGAGGAGCCAGTAAGTGGGAACAGCTCCTTTGCGGAGTTTTGCTGTGAATGGGAGAGAGGAAATGGGAGGCTGGTGGGGATATGAGCTCCAAGCAGTTTGGGAAAGATAGGAGATGTCCCAGCCTGTGAGAAGGATCTAGTAGAGGAAGTAAGGAGACTCTGTAGAGTGGGGATGGGCTGGGGGCGGGGTTGCTGAGACAGTCCATCCCACACACACAGGGGAAGGCTGCAGCCAGGCAGGGGTGGCTGTGATGGTGGTGGGGTGCTCAGACAGTCCATCCCATACACAGGAGGAGGCTGCAGCCAGGCAGGGGTGACTGTGATGCTGAGAGCCTGTGGAGACCTCTTTTCTGATGATCTATTGTCTCTGAGGGTGAGGGTGGGGCCAGGGCAATGAGAAGCTTCAGGAGATGGGAGGAAGTGAGCAAGGCAAGGGACTGCCAAGGTAGAAATGCATCAGGGCTGTGGTGAATACTTCCATCCTGTCTCAGCAGTGAGAGGGCACTGGGTGGTGGTCAGGAAGGGCCTTCCTGAGGAGGTGGCTTTTAGGCTGAGGTATCGGCCGTGGACGGGGATGGAGGAGAGATGTTCCAGGCAGAGGACAGTGTAGAGACAGACTCACAGTGTTCCAGGACCTCCTCTTTCAGGGGGATCACCACTTCAACCGAATCATAGAGGAATAAACGACTCACTGTAGAATTCCAGGCAACAGAGGAGTGGTTTGTGAAGACCAGCTTAGCAAGCCCTATCCTTACAATGACAGCCATACTTCACCATCCGTGTTTGCAGATGGGAGTCAGTGTCGTGGACTCTTCTGTGGCAGGCCTTGGAGGCTGTCCCTATGCACAGGGAGCATCTGGAAACTTGGCCACAGAAGACCTGGTGTACATGCTAGCTGGCCTGGGCATTCACACGGTAAGCCAGCCTGCCCCCTGGAGGCAGTGGCCCTCAATTGACCTGAGCTCTACCTGTCGCCCCACCCCAGGGCAGCAGCTGGTTTTTGTTTTGTTGTAGGGGAGTGAGTCTAGAGGGGAGCCTAGGGATCAGGGGTGTTCTGTTTTAAGGTTTTGAAGCAACAGCATGTGGTTGGACAAAACCATGACTGGGCACAAGAAGGCTAGACAATCAGTGACTCTGACCATTCAGCTCTAGGAGGCTCCAGGTTGTAGAGAAAAAGCCACTATGCTCTGGGCCGGTTTTGTTTCCTGGGAAGTAGGTAGTGTTGGCAATATAGAGGGCCTTCAGTGATAGAATGGAAGGAATGTAGCATCTATACATTGGATCAGTTGAATTTAAAACCTAGCTCTGTCACTCACAGGCTTTGTGACCTTACACAAATTACTTTCTCTCCTGAGTTGATGAAATGGGAATAATAATAGGGCTGTTCCAAGGACTGAGTAAGGAAGTATGCGTACTGCTCATGCTACCTCTGCCCTCTTGGCAGCAAGACTGGTGCCTCTAATATAGTGGGGCTACAGCAAGCCCCAGAACCAGGAGGATACAACCTCTCAGGTAACCTGTGCCCCACTGTCAAGAGGAGGAGCAGAAGCCTGTTTGTCTCCACCTTTGCTTTCCAAGTATCACAATTGCCCGTCCTGTCTGCTGTTTGCCTGGGTGTGAGGGCGTGCCATGACTTACTGCTGCCTTTGATTTGTTTCTCAAGGGTGTGAATCTTCAGAAGCTTCTGGAAGCTGGAGCCTTTATCTGTCAGGCCCTCAACAGAAAAACCAGCTCCAAAGTGGCTCAGGCCACCTGTAAACTCTGAGCTTCTTACCCACCCTGAGTTCAGGGAACAGTATGGGAGAAGGGTTTGCATGGATTGATCATGGATATGGCATTGAAAGGAGCAGGTGCCTCACAGAAATGGAAGAGGCTTTGAGAACTGGCCATCTCCTGTCACTGTGGACTCAGTAGTGCATGTGCTCTCTGAGGGCACTTGGTAACCCAGCTCTGGGCTTGAGCTGATCTAGAGTTCCCTCTCTGGATGAAGTCTGCCAGCTAGCAACCCTCACACAGATTGACCTTGTTGTCCTGACCTTGGGGCCATTGTTCTCTGACTTTGAACCAAGGAAAATGGGGAAAACAAACTGGCAGAGGTGGTTGACTGCTAACTCAAATACCGCTGGAAATCTTCCTGGGTGACACTCTCTGCTCTGATTTTTGGAAACAGTTTATGTAATTAAAGATTTAATGACATAGCCATTACAGTATTCTGTTGTGCATGTGTGTCTTTATGAGTGGGGAGACTACTGGGGAATAAAACATCTTTACACTGTTACAATTTGGCAGGAAAATGTAGACTTTAAAGTAGTTTATCAATCAGTTGGTTTCTTCACTGTTTATTCAGTGAACTTTGGTGTCACTCAGGAGAAGGCCCACAGCGCTGGCTGCCACACACCTGAGCTTCCTGAGTCTCCTGCACTTAAAGCTCCGTGGTGGCCCCTGGCCCTGGGCAAGGCCAGCAGTGTGGCTTGTTAGCTGGCGCTCTTTCCTCTGCACTTCAGGTTCTGGGGGGGTCTCAGTATTTCTCATTGGACTCAGGTGGGAGGATACTCCAGCTGGAGATATTTACGACTTAGATTTTATCACTCAATTTTCATCACATCATTCCCTAGCCCTAACTTTCTTGTGAACAGAAACAATTTTCTAACCTCTTATAGTAAGTAAAGGGAGCTCTGGTAGCGTAGTGGTTACGAATAGGGCTGTGAACCGCAAGGTCAGCAGTTCTAAACTACCAGCTGTTTCGCGGGAGAAAGATGAGGCTTTCTGCTCCCGTGAAGATTTACAGCCTTGGAAACCCTGTACAGGATCGCTATGAGTCAGAACCGACTCCACAGCACATAGCAACATAGAAGGTAAGGTGCTGTGGAATACGCATTGGGCCACAAGGTCAAAAGTTCAAACCTACCCTGTAGATTTACAGTCTGTAGATTTACACCTGCGTGGGTCACTGTGAATCAGAATTGTTTCGATGGCAGTGGATTTGGTTTAGGTTCAGGTAGGAAGGGAGCAAACCTTTCAGCAAAGAGAACCACAATTCCTGAGGCTGACAGCTTAGCACTGTAACTGCTATTTAAGCTTTCGAGGTGCTTTCCCCAAATTTGTTTTCAAACTAGAGCTTCCAGGACCAGCAGCCCCTGGGAGAAGACCAGCGGCCCTTTTAATCAATGCAGCCCTCTTTTGCCTTTATTATCCGCATAGTCGCATATTTCATAGGACTTCATTTGAAGAATGGATTTGGCAAATAACTAAAAAGCTTGAAAACTTGCTGGTTAGTGTGGGGTCAAGGGCTTATCAGCCCTACTCCGACTCTGTATCTCTTGTAGTCAGGAAGTATCCGGGCGGGGCGGATCCCCTTTCTCCTTCTCCTCCCCTGGTTTCTAGGGCTCAGAGGAGCTCTCCGCACCACAGGGGACCAGCGTGGGGGCTCTCACCCCTCCAGTCACTGACATGATGGTCAGAGCAACACCTTTTCTCCTCACCACTAACTGCTCTGTCTTCAGGGGGCTGCAACAGTCCACTGCCTCCGTGGGAGCGCCTGCGCAGTCTACTTAAAAAAACTGCAGCAACCCAGCTACTTAAGATGCAACTGTTGGTCTCTCTGGTCCAGAGCAATGAAGAGTGAAGAAAATCAAAGACTCCAGGAGCCAGTTCTTTCAGAGGACGGTAATGGACCACATGAACCACAGCCTCCACTACCCTGACACGAGAAGAGCTAGATGGTGCCTGACCACCACTACCAGCCACTCTGATTGGAATCACAATAGAAGGTCCTGGACGGAGTAGGAGAAAATTTGTAAAAATAATTCAAAGTAATAAGATTGGTGGGAGCCCCTAGACCGTGGCTCTTGGACATCCTTCAAACCTGGAACTGAACCCACCTTGGGAGATCACCTTTCAGCCAAACAATAGACAGATAGGCTTATAAAGCGAACACTAACACTTGTGAATAATGCACTCATCAGAACAAGTAGTCATCTGATACCTATAGGACAGTATTTGCCCCAAAACAGCTCAGAAGGCAGAAAGGGACAGGCAAGGACGAGACGAAACGGGGAACTCAGAGAAAGGAGCACGAGTACTCTTACAGAGGGGCTTGCAACCAGTGTCACGAAACAATGTATAAATTGTTAATGATAAACCTTCACTCGGTGAGCTTTTACTCAAACTGCAGTTTAAAAACAAAACTTCAGCGAGTTTTTTGCCCTCTTGCTTTTCCGTAGCCACCGCATCCCTTTTGACACGTTTCCTAGAGGGCGTGGAAAGGGGAGGGACCTGGGTGGACCCGTGGACTCAAAGGAACCCCGGCGCGGGGAGCGCAGAAAGCAGCGCCGCTGGAGCCGGTGCGGGGCGTGGGGTGCTGAGTAGGTTCGGCCCGCGGATTGAGGGGTAGGTGGGCTGGCGGGGCGGGGCGGGGCGGGCTGGTCCGCGGGCAGGTCCGCGGGCAGTGTTGCTGTAGGACCCTTGCTACGTTCCGGGCAGTCTGGCTAGGGCGGGCGGGCCCGCCCCCTCTGCTCCCAGTTCCCCGCCGCCTTGGCTAGGGTGATCCGGGTTCATTCATTCGCTACCCGAGGTCTCCTAGCTCGGCCCCTTGGAGCCGTGGCCCGATATCCTGCCCAAGGCTCAGCTGTACTTGAGCGTTCACGACCCAGCACCCTTTCCCTTCCATTATACAGACTAAGAAAAACTGAGGCAACGGTAGCTGGCCTAGGACAAAACGCGCTCTGGTCCTAGGCAAGGCCGACCTCAGGCCAGCCTTCTTGTCATCCAGGGCCCCTCTGCGACCATTTCCAGGGTTCCGGACAGTGGGTGGAACTCGGTGGGGTGGGTAGGGGGGTGGCTGCAGCGTCCGGAGCGGTGGAGCAGAGTTCAGGGGGAGCGGGGGTGAGGGTGGGGTAAAGGAGCAGGAAGAACTTCTTGGGGGAGGCAGCTACCCTAGAGATCCAGATTTCAATATAGGTCAAACAAGCTGTTTAACCTCAGGCAAATTAGTTCACTTCTCTGTTCCTCAGTGGCCTTTGTAAAGTGCCAGTAACAACACCTGCACAGTTGAGGGCAGTGATGCAAAAGCGCTCAGCCTGGCGCTCAAATAGGTTGATGCTGGATGAGTCGTGGATTGTGGCAGCCAGGATGGAGGAAGGAATGAAAGGCCTCTGTGTCTGAGGCTTCCTCCTCCCTCCGCTCTATGTCCCGCAGAGTTTGCACAGGGTGGAGGCGCACACCTGGTAGTGGGGACCAGGAAGGCCACGTACACACGCCTGACCAGTTCTGTCTAAAGTTGGGCGGGATTCCTAGTCCCAAGCCTGGAGTGAGCTGGCCCAGCCCCGTTCAGCACTGGCATGGGCAGAGGCTGAGCCAGCCTGGCTGCCCTGGGTGGAGTCCGCTCCAGAACAGTGGTGCTGCAGCTCCGGAAATGGTCTGCGGCCTATCCTGAGGACCCACCCCAGAGGCCATCTGTATATTCCTTACTGCCTCCCAGCTGACCTTTGAGGGAGTAGGAGACATGGGGGCTACCTGGAGCCGGTGCTATTAGTCCTGGAGCCAAGGAACCCGTTTACCCACAGTAATGGCAGAGGCACTGGGGAAGATTGAGTTTAAGCAGACAGAGCCTCTTCCCTCCGGCTCCTGTCATCCAACCCTGTGCCATGTCTCCTTTTGCCCAGGCCTCTCCAGCCTCCAGGCACCCTGGGAAGGTCCTCAGGTTCTGTTTTCACATCCATCTTCCCAGTCTTGGGCCAGAAAACATGGCACCTGTGTGCTAGTCTCCCACTTGTACCAGTTGTAAGTGGTTGTTAAGTGCCTTCCACTCATTCTGACTCATAATGACCTGGGTTTCCAAGGAACTGCTGGTGGGTTAACAGTCTAGTGCTTATCCTACAGTGCCACACCAGACAGTAGACTTTTTAAATCACCTCATTTAACCCTCACACCACCACTTGAAATTATACAGTCATTAGCTCCATCCTATAAAAATGGAACCTGAGGCCAAGAAAGGTTTGAACAGCTACTCTATGGGAGAAAGATGTGGCATCTGTAGATTACAACCTTGAGAGTCCTAGGGGGCAGTTCTATCCTGAAGGTAGAAAGTGACGGTACCATGGCTAACTCACCCAGGGCTGACTCCTGAGCTGCTCTTTTAACTAGGACACCCTGCTGCCTCCCTTCAAGGTGAGCTCTCGGGGCCAGACTGGCTAGAAGGAAGCCCAGAGGCAGCAATCTGTCACTCCTGAGACTGTGTTCTGGCCAGTTATAATGGCAGAGAAGGTGCTGGTAACAGGTGGGGCTGGCTACATTGGCAGCCACACAGTGTTGGAGCTGCTGGAGGCGGGCTACTCCCCTGTGGTCATCGACAACTTCCACAATGCCATCCGTGGTGAGTGGTGGAGCAGGGCTTCTAGAGATAATGGCAGAAGGCAAGGTCTGGCGTCCGCCTTCACCCGCGTGGGGGTGGTGGGGGTATCTGTGTGTCTACCTAATCCCTTGGCAACCCTCGACCCCATCTCCTGTGATTTTGATGGCCTTCATGTGCTGCTCAACCAGGAGCGGGCTGCATGCCCGAAAGCCTTCGGCGGGTGCAGGAGCTAACAGGCCGCCCTGTGGAGTTTGAGGAAATGGACATCTTGGACCAAGCAGCCCTACAGCATCTCTTCAAGAAGGTGGGGCGGGGGGGGCGGCCTTGCTAGGCAGACAAGCAGGGGACATTGCCCAGGGCCTGTAGAGGAAGCACTGACCCCACGGCTATGCCCCCCGCAGCACAGTTTTGTGGCAGTCATCCACTTCGCGGGGCTCAAGGCTGTGGGCGAGTCAGTGCAGAAACCTCTGGATTATTATCGTGTCAACCTGACGGGGACCATCCAACTTCTGGAGGTGAGAGGCTGAGAGTGGATGCTCAGATACGAGCAGCATGCCTGGCCCTGGTGGCTCAGGGCCTGATGGCTCTCTTCATGACCAAGGTCTCTCCATTTGGAATCTCAGGTGACCTATTTAGCCCTGACAATGCCCATAAGCTACTGTGGAGGGAGTACCCCAATTACCCATTGCTGACAAGTCAATCCAAACGTTTAATGACCCAACAGGACAGAGCAGAACTGCCCCTTAGGGTTCCCAAGGTTGTAATCTTTATAGAAGCTTACTGCCACATCCTTCTCCCCTGGAGTAGCTGTTCAAACCACCAACGTTTTGGTTAGCAGCCATGTACCAGGGTGGGGCTAATGTGAGGCAAGCTGCTGACGCTTCCGCTCCATGGCCAGATCATGAGGGCCCATGGAGTGAAGAACCTGGTGTTTAGCAGCTCAGCAACCGTGTACGGGAATCCTCAGTACCTGCCTCTGGATGAGACCCACCCCACAGGGGGCTGTACCAACCCATACGGCAAGTCCAAGTTCTTCATTGAGGAGATGATCCGGGACCTGTGCCAAGCAGACAAGGTGAGGGCTCCCCCCTTGGGCCACTCATACACCTCCTCACAGCCACCTTGGGCTTGTGGATGGAGCCCTACGTAGGTCCCACCAAGAAGGAAATGAAGGCTCAGAAAGGAGTGGTGGTCCAAGTTCATAGAGCTGGGGCAGGGTCCTGTTCCCTGTGCATTCTTAGAGATAGCGAACAGGTGTGGGGGACTGAGGTGGAGGGTACTGGATTCAGTTGGGCCATGCTACCTGCCTGCCCTCACCTGATCTGTGTGTCCACAGGCCTGGAACGCAGTGCTGCTGCGATATTTCAACCCCATAGGTGCCCACGCCTCAGGCTGTATCGGCGAGGATCCACAGGGCATCCCAAACAACCTCATGCCTTACGTCTCCCAGGTAGGGAAGAAGGGTAGGGACTGACGGGGTGAGGGGGATATTAGGGTCCTGGGAGGAGCTGACCTGATCTCCACCACCAGGTGGCGATTGGGCGACGGGAGGCCCTGAATGTCTTTGGCAACGATTATGACACAGAGGACGGTACAGGTGAGCACAGGACCAGAGAACCCAAGAGGCAGTACTGATGTGGGGCAGAGGCTGTTCTGAATCCCTCCAACCTCCACCTCCTGTCTGTAGGTGTCCGGGATTATATCCATGTCGTGGATCTAGCTAAGGGCCACATTGCAGCCTTGAGGAAGCTGAAGGAGCAGTGTGGCTGCCGGGTAGGAAGAGAAGAGGGAGGGAAGGAAGGGGAGACTTAGACCTTGGCACAGGGACCTTCCTCAAACCTTGGCCTCTTCTCCTGAGCAGATCTATAACCTGGGCACGGGCACAGGCTACTCCGTGCTGCAGATGGTCCATGCCATGGAGGCCGCTTGTGGGAAGAAGGTAGGTGGTGCTCAGCCAACGCTGAGCAAGAAAAGAGCCTGGGCTGCCACCCACCAGCCTGCCCAGCAAGTGCCCCATAGCTGCTCTGTCTACTCAGCTCTGCCTTGTCAACCTTAACACACAAGTGACTGAGCCAGAACCTGCTCTGCGTGCAGCCAGGTGGGTGGGATCCAGGGCCGGCTCAGCTGAGCTTTGACCATCTCCTCTTACAGATCCCATACAAGGTGGTTGCACGGCGCGAAGGTGATGTAGCTGTCTGCTATGCCAACCCTAGCCTGGCCCGAGAGGAGCTGGGCTGGACCGCAGCCTTAGGGCTGGACAGGATGTGTGAGTACTGCCCAAGGCCCAGCCCTAGTGCTGGCTCTGACTCCGGGAAGAGAATTTGGGACTCAGAGTGGTCTCATCAGCTCTTGGCATTGCCCACCGTGGTTGCATTCCATGCTGAGCCCTGACTCCACCCACATCCTACTTGCAGGTGAGGATCTATGGCGCTGGCAGAAGCAGAATCCTTCAGGCTTTGGTACACAGGCTTAGGGGACCCTCCTGGGACAGACCAGAAAAAGAAAAGACCGCTGCCTGCTCTCCAGTCTCCCGGCGAGAACCGAGGGGCACCTGAGCCTCTGGACAAAGTCAAGACCTCCCCTACCTCACACCCCAGTTTAGCCGCTTTCCCCACCAGGCCTGAGGTCAAGGGCTCCTTGGACCAGGAGATGGTAGCTGTGAAGGAATTTCTAGAGGAGCTGCTAGCTGCCTCCTGTCTAACCATCTCTAACTTTTACCTTCCAGAGCAACCAGAACCCTGTAGGGACCAAAAGCAACTGACGGAGGCAAGGGACAACTGCCCTCCTCCCAGGCACTAATAATTTATACTGCTATGAAGAGCTTTCTAACATATTTAAAATAAAGGAAAAAGTTTTCTTAGACTGGGGTAGGTTCTCACCAGTGGTCACTTGCTCTCCCTTGAATAGAATCAGCCAAGCCCAAGAGGAGGAAGCAGTCTCTCTCATTTTATTGGAATTCAGGACACAACAAGAAAAATACCCCAAACCACATGGAGACAGAAGACAGACACAACCCCCACAACCTCCTTGGCCAGAGAGCGTGAACAAAGTGTGGGGGACACAGCTGGGGTAGACCTTGAGCCTCAGTCCAGCCCTGCAGACTCCAGGCCTGCAAGGAAGGAGCAGACAGGGGAGGTGGGCCCAGCCCCCAGGGTGAGGGAAGAGCTGAGGGAAGGCCCCTGGGAGGGCTCTACCCCCTCACCAACATTCCTGCCCAGGGGCAGGGAGCCCACAGCAGCAAGGGGGCAGGCCCTGAACACATTCATGATTGAGAAGCAGCTGGAGAGGACACAGATTATCTGGGCAGAATCCCTGGGGGGTCAGTAGGTGGAGCCTGGAAGGGGCCCCGTGGGCCAAACCCTGAGGTCACAGGAGGGGGGCCAGAAGCGGGGCTAGTGAGTGAGGTCCTGAGTGAGTGGGTCAGCGGCTGGGCCCCTTCCTCCCGCTGCCTACAGCCCCTCCAATACTGCTGTGGGGAGGGGGGGGCCGCCTCTAGGAATACAGGGTAAGAAAGCAGCCCGCCCTCTGCTGCAGACGGTGCCAGGTGGCTGAGGCCAGGAGTGCGAGCTGGGCCATACCTGGGTCTGTCTGCCCCAAGGCCAGTGGCAGAGGGCAAGTTAAGGAAAGTGGGGATGGGGGCTCGACCGGCTCAGATCCAAGATGATGCCGCATGTGCTGAGTCCCTCACCAGCTGGGGGACCACACTGGGGGCCACCACTAGTTAGACAGGAGGCAGTAGCTTCTCAAGAAATTCCTTCACGGCTGCCATCTCCTGGGGGTGAGAGGAAATTGTGAGAGGCTCCAGGCTGGAGGTAGGAGAGGGCTGGGAGTGGGAAGCCATCCTTCAGCACTAACCTGAGGGCAGGAGCTGTGCATAACACCTGGGTACGTCTTGAACTGGACCCGGGCAGGTGTGACAACAGACCGGAGCTTTTCAGCTGTCAGGGCCCCAAACCGTACAGGCACCATGGGGTCCAGCTCCCCGTGGCACTGAAGGATGGCCAGGTCCTTGGCACTGCCATTGGCTGCCTGTGGGCCAGAAAGGGCTCAGGGCAAAGTCAAGTTGGCCAGCACAGCCCCCCAGTCCAGAGGGATCGGTGGGGGCACTCACCTCGGGGAAGGCCCGGTGTAGAGGCAGCCAGCAGCTCAACGCCACAATGCCAGCCAGAGGGTGGGGGCAGGTGAGGGCAGTGTAGAGGGACAGGGCCCCTCCCTGGAGAGATGAGCCAATGAGAGGTCACAAGGGCAGAGCTCGGCTCCCCTCCAGCCACCCACTACCCACCTCTCCTCACCTGTGAAAAGCCTCCCAGGACAATTCGATTAGCAGGAATCCCATTCTTCATCTCATGCTCAATCAAGGCCTTGACTAGGGGAGGAGGTAGGAGGATATGTCTTGAGGGTGTGGAGAGCTATTGAGGGACCTGAGACCCCAACAGGTACCCCCCAACCCTCTGGGGAGGCGCAGGAGGATCCTGGTAAGAGACAAGGGTCTTACTATTCTCTGCGGCCTTTTTGATGCCATCCTCATCCTCTGGGGCATCTGGACTCAGCCCCATCAGGTCGAACCTGGGGGAGCAGAGGCATTGGCAGCCATTGGAAGATCCCACCCAGTCCCATGCACTGCCCTCAGCTCCTGTCCCCATCCCCACACTCACCAGGATGGCATCACCATCCTCATGTTGAGTGTCACAGGGATCCGAGGCCTGGGGAGGACAGCAACAAGGACCCATGTTTAGGAGGGATGAGGAAGCTTCAGCGGAGAGGCCCTGGGGACCCTTCCCAGCAGGCAGAGCTTGTGTTTAAGGTGTTGCCAGGCAACCAGCCACGTGGGGCTGGAAGCTGCTGTTAGGGCATCAGTGGTAGCAATGGAGAAGCAGAACCCAACATTCGGTGTGACGGGGCCTACTGCAGCAGGTGAGTAGTTGGGGAAGGGGCACAGATTCTGGTCCCGGTCTGAGGAGATCTCCCTTCTGGGAAGCCCTGGGACTGGGGGCTGGGGCTAGGACCCATTCCTGGGGACACGATGGCAGCTAAGGTGGAAATAACACTTCTAACTGCTCAGGGCCCAGGCCCAGAGGTCCACCCGCAGCTGGTCACCATCCCCAGCCCCTCCCTTGCTGGGGTGGCACTCACGCATGGGGACAGATGTACTTGACATGAGGAAGCCGGATGGAGGAGAGGGCGTGAGCCCAGCTGTGCCTGGAGGAGGGGAGGAGGGAAAGACTCAGCTGTAGGGAGGGGTAGCAAGCTCCACCTCCTCACAGAACAGCCCCTCCTCCCAGCTCACTCACCCTGTGTCTCCAAGTCCATGTAAAAAAATAACCTGGAAGAGGATGAGCAGAGGGGAGCAGGGGGTTAGCATGCTGCTTTCATTCCCCCTTACATCCTCAATTTCTGGCCCCGAAGGACCTGGGGGGTGGGGGTGGGGACTGAACTAAGAGTCACACAGGTTATTAACCCCAAGCCACCTGGTCACCGCCACCTCCATTTTTCCCACACCCCTTCGAGCTATTCCCCCATGCAGTAGAAGGGCCCTTACCGCAGCCGTTTCCCGCTCAGCTCCAGACACAGTGGCAGCATCCGTGAGCAGGGGCACAGACATGGTGTTACCACACATACACTGCAGGGCTCCAGGCTGGGGCCTGTGCAAATGGGGGGTGGGGGGATTTCACGAGTGAGACCAGGCAAATGAGAGACTCCCATCACAGCACAGTCCTCAAAGCTAGGGCTCACCAAAACACCAGCACCCCAACTCCAGCACCCTGGCCAGGGTTCTGTTCAGGTCATCAAAGAAAAGGCAGGATGTCCCAGGGCAGAGGGAGCAGGAAGTTGGCCTCCCTTCCAGAAGCAGTCACCCTAGTGGCCCAAAGATGACTGAGCCAAACCAAGGTGCTCAGATTTGTTGGTGTGGAACCCAGGAAGGGGTGAGCTGAGGGGAGGCAGGGCAAACCCTGTCGCCTTTCCCCAGCTCCTGCACCTCAGAGGCAACTGCCTCCTGCCAGCTCTCCAGCCATCCCCCACCTTCTCTGGAGCTCCTGGTCTCCCCTCACCACCCCATCCTGCTCAAGTCTGAGAAATGAAGGAGAGAAAAAACGCCTCTGCCCCAAAGCCCCTCACCACATATCTTTTCCATCACCCTCCTGCCCAGCCAGCCCCCACCCAGCCTTCACACTAGTTTATGGCTCAGCCCTTCCCAGAGCCCCAGTGGGGTGTCCAGGTCCCCAGAAAGCATATGGACTTCCTTCCACCACCCACTCCCCAACTGGTACTTGGCTTTCCTGAATGGGGCTACCTGGTGCCTACTGACTCTCCCGAACACACAAAAGAATGTCAGGCTGACTAGCTCCTCCTCCCCATCCTCAGCATCCTCCAAACTGCCCGTGCGCTCCCACTACCTGCCCTTAAGTGTCCACCCTTCCCAACAGCACCCACCCCTTCTACCTGGCATCCACCTCCCTCCTTTGACCCCACCCACCCATAGTGGAGTCTTTCACCTCTGATCCTGAGGGGTCCCTCCCACAGGGGAGTGAACCCTTCTTCCTAAATTGAGATTCTCTTTCTCTTCCACTGTGGGGACTTGCATCTCACTCCTGAGTTTCCCTCTTTCAGAGAGGTGCCTTTCCCCTACTACACGATCTGGTGTCTCCATCTCCACAGTTAAAACGTCCACCCTGACCTAGGATTGCCTATTCCCTATAATGGGAACTTTCTCTGACCCTCCCCACTACAGCATTTTCAACCCTGACCCCAGCAACCTTCTCCTGCCCACAAAGGGGCTTTCTACATTTGACCCTGGGGAGCTCCCGCTTCACAATGGGATCTTCCACTTCCAACCCGAGTCCCCCTCATCACACCAAGGTACCCTCTTTCCTAGTCCCTCTCAATCTCTGAAATCCCCAAAGCTGAATAGCGCCTCAGGGTACCTCACTCCCTACCCCCATCTTCACAATTGCCATTCCCCCTCCCCTCTCTCCAGGATCCTCCCAGTGGCCCAATCGGCTTAACCATCGCCTCCTTCTGCCTGCCTGCCCTCAGACCAGAGTACCTCCACTCCTCGGGGGTTTCGAGACCTCTCTCGAGAATCTCCTTTCTCCCGCACAGACACTCACTCTTCCCCTCGGCCGCCCCCGCCGGAACTTCCGTTTGAGTCCCGGGAACCAAGCCATCGCACTGCCGGAAACAGCCTGGACAGCAGTACGGAATCCGGAAGTGGGGTATGGGGATTTCTCCTGCTAGAAGCTGCCATTTTGGGTACGGTGGGACCACTCCCTGTAATTGTCACGAAGTCACTTGAGTTCTTGCCTCCAAAGACCTGCAGACTAGACCGGGCATTGGAGACTTACACATATAGCACCATCTACACATATCCTGGAGGAAACTCATCTGAAAGGAAAGGCATTCCTCACACTATTAGTACAAAGTGTACCACCGTCCCAACCCCATGTGTCACAATTCTTTACAGCCTGGTACATCCACCACTGGTTTTCTTGCCCTTTCCTTCAAATTGTCAAGACAATGGGTGGAATCACATACTCTGAACTGAAATATCCTTAGAGATCATCCTCGTCCTTAAAGGTCTTAAAGAGGAAACTGAGGTCCATGGAGGCAAAGTAAACCACCTCAATATTCTACTGTAATATCACCTCTCTAGACCTGTTTCCTGGGCTATAAAATGGGATAACCACTACCTGCCTACTTCACAGCTTTCCTGTGAGACTCAATGAGGTCATGTGAAAATGCTTTATACACTGTAGATGACAATCAGTGTGAGGTCTTGACCCTAAAAAGGACCCTGGGGAAACACCACAGTCCATACTCTATACCAGGATAGCTAGGCAGGCACTAGTGGTGGTGTCTTAACGCTTGACAAGCAGTGTCATGCAGACTGCGCAAATACTATCATCGTCATCAAACTCCAGTTGTCAACAAAAAAGGCTTCAATGGGTCACCATTGAGTCACTTTGCCCCTTGCTGCACCAGTGAAGTGGAAATGAGACTCCCAATCCTTAAGATTGGTAGGCGTGACGAACTGACTTGAAGGACCATGTACCAGAGAGAGCACGTGGGCATCAACAAACAGGAAGTGAGTCACACTTGTCCGTCAGCTACTTAGTCTACTTGGTAAGTATAGTTTTCTTTCTTTTAAAAACTCAAAGCTCACAGAGCATTTTTTCCCAGGTCACGAGACAGTTTGGTCCTAAGTGCTCAACAGGTCAGAGATGTAACTTAAACACCAAGATTCCAGGCAGAAAATCTTTGGACTCAGGACCATGGTTTACAGGGAAAAAGGAGATAGGGAGCAAAAAGAACTCCAATGCACTTGTCCCCAACTCCCCCTGCTGGGTCTGCTTATGTTAGAACAATGGTTCCTTTTATACTCACAGACCACCTGAGACACTGGGAATTTGAACAAATTCAGAGGCTCCCTCACTGGGACTACCAGTGGTTAGTGTTTTAATTAGTGGAATTAATGAAGTGCTAGTTGACAAGGAGCTCTGGTAGCGTAGTGGTTATGAATCGGGCTGTGAACCTTAAGGTCAGCGGTTCGAAACTACCAGCTGCTCCACGGGAGAAAGATGAGGCTTTCTACTCCCGTAAAGATTTACACACTCGGAAACCCTGTACAGGGTCGCTATGGGTCGGAACCGACTCGATGGCACTTAACAACAACAACAAGTTGACAAGTACTGGACTATGAACCACAAGGTCCGAAGTTTGAAACCACCAGCTGCTCTGTGGGAGAAAGATGAGGCTTTCTGCTCCTATGAAGATTTAAAGCCTTGGAAACCTTATATAGGGTCGCTTTGAATCAGAGCCTACTCAACGGCACTTAATAACAACAAAGTCTTATAAGTTGTTAACTCAACGGCAGCTGACAAGTCTGCTGATACAGACATACCTTGGAGGTACTGCAGGCTCATTCCAGACCACCACAATGAAACAAATTTCACAGTCAGTCACAGGAATTTCTTGGTTTCCGAGTACATAGAAAAGTTATGTCTATAGTATATTGTAATCGGTTAAGTGTAAAATATCATTATTAAACAGTTTAAAATACTGAGAATTACTCAAATGTGATAGAGACACTACGTGAGCACATGCTATTGAAAAAAAAAGCAGGGTTAGCGCCACATTCAACTGACAGAAAAGAGAATCTGTGAAGTGCAATCAAGCAAAAGCACCATGAAACAAGATAGGCCTGTACTTCTATAAACTGTATTCCTACCCTTGCCACCCACCCCTAATTGAAACATGACTTTTAACTCCAAAATGACTCAACTGAAACAAAGGGCTGTGTGGTGGAAGAGGAGGCAGGACCCTTGGGCTTCAAGAATTGCATTTGCATTCTGGTTGATCTAGACTGCATTTTAGAAATGTTAAGGCACCACAACGCTTGGTGGTGGCAGGCCTTTCCTAGGACAGACTGAAGAAGCAGTGGGCCAGGCCCTCAGAGGAAATCTCAGATCCAACACTGTTGCAATTCCCTTTGTCAGCCATTTCTATTTTCTGTAAAGCTGACCTCAATCCCCCTTTTCAGATCTGTAAGTTCTCTCCAATTGCTGTACTGACATCCGTATGTTGTCAAGTGCCTTTGAGTCAATTCCAACTCAAAGCAACCCCTATACAGAGCTTCCGGGAAGCAGCTGGTGAGTTTGAACCACTGACCTTGTGGTTCACCATCCAGTGCTTACTCTACAGCGCCACAGCAGAAGTCCGACATACATGTATTCCTTTCAAAATGTTAATTCCAAGGTCTCTGGTTCACTTTCAGACCACATGTCCTGCTCACTTTCTTCACCTTCATCTCTTTTGGTGAGCTCTAGAATCTATTCTTTTACATTTTAAATGTTCCTCTATCCAAGTTATTTTTCTTTCTTGAGAACTGAAAAACAGGTTTTTAACTCCATCTTCTTCTTTACAGAATTAAGTTTGACTCTTCCTGGAGGAATGAATCTAGTTCTGACTTAACTGTAGTACTTCTTATAATCTACTTAGTCCAAAACAACACATTTTTTTCCGTTTGATAGTTTCCAGTAAGAAAAGTTTCATCAGTACTACCAAGAACTCAAAAGAAAATAGAAGCATTAAGTCTGACAAGAATTTATTAGGAAGCTTACTAGTCACAGTGAATAAAAAGCCATGAACAGAAGCACTCAGATTCTGGCATTAGGCTTAAAACGTGAGTAAGAAGCTAACAAACATAAAGGATCTCCCAAAGGGAAATCTTACCCCCACCAGGATACCCACAAACACAGAAATAATTCCCTTTTCTCCCCAGATTGCTTACCAAAGCAGTGGGGAAAAAAGCGCTTTCCCCCCAACTACTAAGTATCACCAGAGACTCCTACCCTTCCAGCTATAACCCTGGGACACTCATGTGTGACAGACAACTGCAAGCAGGGCAACTTGACAAGAATGCGGAACAATGACAGGGAGGAGCAAGCAGGGACAAGTATTTCTCATTGGAGACCCTCCTGATGGCTAATACAGATGCTAATACACAATCCAGATGCTTCAGAAAGTTTCCAGCAGCCCAGGAATTGTTTCCATTAAAAAAGAAAATCCTGCCACAAAGCAACAAGACACTTAGGATCCCATGGCACATTCAGACTGGCGAAGCAGCCGTTATCCATGCCTGCCTGATGATGGACCAGCCCAAGACCCAGTTTCTGCGGTACCCTAGAGAACAGTAAGTGTCTCTAGGCATCCACACAAGCCTCCCAGTGGTGTGTAGCTTCTGTAGACCAGGTTTTACAGCCGAGTCCCCAGAGACAAAGCTTTAGCAGAGGCCGTGGCAGTCAACTCTCTTGGGAGCCCCATCCTGTTTTCGGCCCAGTGGGTTGTTGGAGATCTTCACTGACACAGAACCTCTGTGGGAGCCTGGACCACCCACTAAGAAATGAAGTGTGTCTGTGGGGTAACCTGATGGACTTTGTGGTCTGTTGGGTTGGCTGATGCTTCATAATTGCAAATAGTCACCTCATGTCGGTGAAGCTGTAAGGAAATCAAGTATGTTGGGTTAGCAGGACATCAGAGAAGGTACTTTCCAAGACCACATACAGTGAAATAGTCCTGATTCAAGTCCAATTCCAAAAATCATCAATCACCTCACCTCTCTTCTCTTCTGGTATTTTTTATCCTACGAGGCCTGCAAAGATCATCAATGACCCACCCCTGATGTAGATGATTCCTATGTCTTCCCCTGCTATACTGGCAACACCAGGGGAACAATAGCTTGCTATTTTGTTTAACACCTATCTCTGGCGTCTGGAACAAGAAAGCTTATCAAAAAGTGTTTGCTGAAGGAAGAAATTTTAAAGCAAAAAAATGAATTAGTATCAATATTGTCATTTTAATCCCTATCAAATGTTCATAGTCTATCAAACAAGAAGGACAGTTTAAAATGGTTAAATCAAAAAATAAAATAGATTGGCAAAACCTGAAATCTCATTTGCTTGTTTCCCCTTCTCTTAAAGTACCCAACCATTGCCACAGGGTAGATAATATACAACTCCAACTTACCTCAGTCCATTCTCCTCTCAGACCAATATAAAAGACCTTTGTGGTATCTGCTCCAAAGTTTTTTGAAATATGAATAGACAGATGACAGACATTTGAAAAACGAGAAATTCTAGAAGATGAAGGGATGAGAAGAGAAGACATAAGTTAAGAGTTCCTTGAGTATCTTGCCACATGTCAACAACAATTCTAGCTCCAACTTGTGGTAAAATCCAGACAATGTCCTTTAAACAAGCAATTAATCCTGTGAAGATTTACTATACATCTACCCTGGGCAAAACACTGCTCAAGGCAAAAGGGAGAGAGAAAGATACATCGATCCAGTTCCTGTCCTCACAAAACAAGGGAGGAGGAATGCTGTATAACCAAGTTATATTTGGATCTCACTCTTAGGTACAAAAGAACTCGTGAAGAGCTAAGGGAAGTGGGCATGTGAAATGTAGCCTGCCATCAGCAGCTGCTTCACAGAAGAGGTGGTAGGCAGCCTTGGAAACCCTAGGGGGAAGGTCTACTCTGTCCTATAGGGTCGCTATGAGCTGGAATCCACGCATTTGGGTTCTGTTTTTTGTGGGGTGAGGAGCCCACTATGCAAAGAGAACTCTGAAAACCTCTTTTCCTAAGACTACCCTAGGAGCTCATTGAGGTCTGCCAACAAGTTAACAAGTCTGTGGCTTGCACGAAATTTCTGCCAAAAATTGCCCAAGCCAAGGATTGAGCGTCCTCCACTGTTGTAGTTCACTTTTGATGCATGGAGGAGACCAGCCAAAAACAAATGGCAAGCCCTGTAAGAGCTGATGTGTATATACTGGCTGCAAACCAGCAACACCCGCAGTTCCTCCGGAGACACCAGCGTGGAAGGCAGACTCAGCACTTACTTTGTAGCATACTCTAATTCTCCTGTAAGATCCCGGTTCAAACTGAAAGTCTGGTCTGGCTCCCTGTCGGTATCATCAAAGGACATCTGTGGAATGTTCTTATACCTGAGAAAAGAAAAGGAAGCAAAGTTCAAGAAATGTGTACTATCACGCTTCTCAGTTAGTTTTTCAGTACTTCCTGCTAACTCCTCGAAGGAGCTCTGGTAGCGTAGTGGTTACGAATCGGTCTGCGAACCGCAAGGTCAGCAGTTCGAAACTATGACCTGTTCCGCGGGAGAAAGATGAGGCTTTCTCTCCCATTAAGATTTACAGCCTTGGAAACCCTGTACAGGGTTCTCTAGGAGTCAGAACCGACTGCACAGCACATAACAACAACAACAAACTCCTCAACTGCCTTCAGTTTTATCAAGAGGAGATAAAATTTGGGGGTCAAAAATTTTGCAAGTGGTTTTATTGGCATTTACACACAAATATATTTAACCCAATGAGAAAAGAGCTGAGAACTGCAACATTTCCCAATGGCATCTTTGAGTGGGCTAAGATCACATGAGAAGCTATCCACAAAGCAATGGTTCAAACTAAATCACATGCAACAAACGCTTGGAGCAAAACACACAGCTCAGCACATTCACACGACGCTGGGGATGCTTAACTAAAAGAGCTCACTCCTGGGAAAAAACTTTGGCAGGAGTATATTAAACACAAGTTGAAAGATCAGATCAGATAAACTCAATGCTCAAGCATTTTTTTGTGTCCAAAATTGACCCTGTAGATGCAGCCATCTTACAATTCTTTAAAAAAAGCACCATTTGGGGATTTCCATTTTGAAAAGAACATAAAAGGACTGCAGACCTAATGGGCTTTGGAAAGGCAAGATAAAACTGCTAGTGAAGAAAAGATTGTTCAAATAAAAAAATCTAAGCAAACTGCTGTCTTCCTGTAAGACACAAATCCTAAAGAGGTGAGCCACACATCCCACCACCTATCTTCAGGGTATTTTATTAACACACCCACATGGGAAAGGCCTAGATATTAGCTGCAGTAAAATGCATATAATTTAAATAGGCAAGTGTTTGCTTCAAAGTGTTCCTAAAAGACTTGATGCAAAGCAGAATAATAATAGTGAACATTTATGAGCAGCATTATGAGAGGCAGTTTAACACTGTAGTTAGGAACAGCGTCTCTGGAGCTTGACTTCCTTGGTTTAATGCCTGGCTTTGACAATTACCAGCCCTGTGCCTCTGACAAGTGATTTAACCTGTCTCAGTTTTCTCATCTGAAAAATGGGGATAGTGATAGTATCAACTTGCCCCCTACAGTTGACGTAGAGATTAAAATGAAGTCAATTCTATGAGGTAATTTTTATTTTTAATTTAATTTTATTTAGGAAAACTGCAAACATAGTAGTAGAAACAATATAATGATCCCTGCGCTGTGGGTTAATGCGCCCGACTGCAAAGTCGTTTCAACTGCAAGGTCAGCGGTTCAAGCTCACCAGCTGCTCCTCGGAAACCCTATATAGGGTCACTATAGGTCAGAATCGACTCAATGGCACTTAACAACAACAACACATATATAACAGTGAGCTTCAATAATCAATATTAAGCTGATTTTGCTACCAGCCCCACTTTACTTTTGCTCAATAGTAAAGCAAATCCCAAATAGCATATTATTTCATCCATAAATACTTTGTGTATCTCTAAAAAGTTAGACATGTCAAGACAAAGCAAAAACAAACAAAAAACAACCCTATACCATTTTATATTAATTAACAACAACATTACTAAGTCTTTAATACCACTTAACATCTAGTCTGTGTTCAAATTTCTCTGATTTAAAACCTTCAATTTTACTTTTTTGGTGTTTCAGTGTTGTGTCACTGAACTGGCAGAATTTTTCTTCTTGTATTAAGAAAGTCCTGGTGTGGTAGGTACTATAGGACAAGCACTGGACTGCTAACCACAAGGTTGGTGGTTAAAACCCACCAGCTGGTCCTTAGAAACCCTTTACAGGCACTGAACAACAACAGTGAAACATAAGATATATTACAATCAATGACATCTTCAATTCGATAAAGTATAATACATATAAAGTGTCTAAAACTGAGGGCTATGCACATTATTTGCATTTGCTTGCCCCAAATTTGGGCACTTACTATGTCCCAGACCTAGCTAAACACTTTACAGATTGTAACTCACTTAATTCTCTCCTCAATATTATGAGGTCCATACCATTATTATTTCCATTTTATGTATGAGAAAATTGAGGCATAGAGGAGATAAACAATGTCCCAAGGTCACGCAGCTAGCAACTGGTATAGTCAGAATTGAGCCTAATCAGTTCATTCCAAAGCTTTTGGTTTAAAAAATAAAACTACAGAGTCTACACTGTTAACTACAATACAACCTAGACATTTAGTCTTCTAAAGTAAACGAGTCTCCAAAAATATCCATGAATCACATCATTTTCTTAAAATGGTTAAATATGATCTGCTTTCAAATTCATGTTTCTAACAACCAAAAATAGTCTTTTCTTTCTTAAATCTTCCCTAAAGTCTGTTTATAATTGCTCCTTTTTTCTGATTAAATTTCTTTATGCATCATTTTAAAAATATGAACTTTTTGAAACCCATGTTGCCAACAGTGCAGCTAACCATAAGACACCATTGCACCGCTTCACTTTAATCACCTGACAGTACTCAAAAAGCCATTTCTCCTCCTTTTAGGAAGACAACATGGAATAGGGTTAGCTGTCGGTGGCAACAAAGCCAGTGGTACAAGAGGTGTATAGAACTCTGTCAACTAAAAGTCCATGCAAACTCAGATGAAGAAATTCCCTGCCAACAAAACATACTCAAAGATGATTACTGTATGAAATGGCAAGGGAAATTTTGAAACAAACATCAAAAATAGAATCTTTAAAGATCATTAGCAAATTGCAGCTGAGTTATTAAAACAACTACGAAGTTAGCAACAATTAGAATTTATAGGTTATTCTCTGAACAAATGGTGCTGGGGTACTCTGAAAAACACAGACAAAGCTTTAAAGATGCTTACCATAAACAAGCCATTAATTCAGGCAGAGATAAGTATATTTAGATACAGAATAATACCAGGAAATTAAAAAAAAAAAAAAAGGATTGGGGAATGTTTAATCCAGTGAGAAGGAATCTGATATGCTAGAATAAGTGCAACCAGAAAAAGAGAATGAGAAGGCGCTTCCCAAGGGTCTAAGCCCTTGCCACTTACAGTCGCATTTCAGAGGGGTGTGATTCATCGTCCTCTCCCATTATAATGATGCCTTTGAGCTTGACACTGCCTGTAAATCTGCCAGAAATGCAAAAGAGATGTCTGTCAACCTGGATTTGAATCCCTACTTAGCTGTGTGACCCTGGGCAAGACCTTTCCCCTCTCTGGACTTCAGTTTACTCTTTAGTCAGGTTTGTTCTAGACTGTGTCTAAGATTCTGTCTCCCTCTGGGAATTCTGGAATTCTAAGAAATTTACCTCGACTTCTCAGGTATCTTTCAGCAAGTACATCTGTTTCCAATCTGTATCTAGAAATCTATGAAGATTTCCTCCTCAAACCCACCAAACCCCATTTTTAGAAACAGATGTAGTCACTCTTGACAAAATGAGCTAATCCATCTGGCATGGCAATTGGGCACAGCCGATTTGGCCTGAGGCTGGCACTGAGGAGATACTTACGGGATATTAAACAGAAGCTCTTCATCTGCATCACTTTCAACAAACTGGAGGGGATGAGAAGTTGGGAGGAGAAAGTAACAAATATTTGTTCAGCGCCTACAATTTCAGGATTCCTCCACCCTGTTCTGGTAGCGTAGTTACGAATCGGGCTGCTAACCTCAAGGTCGGCAGTTCCAAACTACCAGCTGTTCCGCGGGAGAAAGCTTAGGCTTTCTGCTCCCGTAAAGATTTACAGCCCCGGAAACCCTGTGCAGGGTCGCTATGAGTCGGAACCGACTCCACGGTACTTAACAACCACCACATGTTCTGCAACTGGGGCACAATGTAAATAGTCAACCTCTATGTTTTCCGGAACTTTAATTAGCCTCCCCTCCCGGGGAACCCAGGAATGAACTTAGAAGGCACGCCAGCTTCCTGAAATTGTGTGCCAATATCTGTGCCTATGTGTATTTCCACCAGGGTGAAGGTCCTTGGGCATGATTCACCAGGGGACTGGTGGTTAAGACCCCGTGCTCCACACAGGACAACACACTTGGTCCTCATCGGGCGGTACGAACAAGCAGCCATTGGGACCAGGGGAGAAATGGAAGGGAAAACGCCCGCCCTCCTTCACAACTTCCCACAGACCTGGAACAGGGCAGGGAGCTGTGTAAAGCTGAGGAGCCCCTTTCTCTCACTCTACCTCTTTTTACTAGCTGCAAAATGGGAGACTCTACCCTGTTCACCTCCCAACGGCCTGGCACATGGGCACGGGAGAGCGCTTGGCAAACGGCTGTCGCTGTTTTTAACAGCAGGAATCAGGCTGGTGGAGAAGACCGGCGGCTTGAGGCCTCGCGCGGGGCTCTGCCTCTCCCGCCCGAACCGGCCCCGTCAGGCCCACCTTAGAGCGGTCGGTCCTCTCCTCCCACGGCTTAAAGACCCCGCGACCACTGCCCTCGCGGCTCTCGTTTAGACACTGCAGCCGCTCCAGGTCGATGCGCAGGTACAGGCCGTAGGCCAGGCCACGCTGCTCGGGCGGTTCCTCCCGTTCGGCAGCGCAGCGGCAACCGCCCCCACCGTGGCTGTGGCCGTGCGACATGGCGACGCCGCTGTCGCCAGTCCCTTCGGCCCTACAACCGCTAGCGTCGCGCTTGCTCCACTTCAGTCGCCAAGCGCATCGCGTCCGCCGCGTCGTAAAAGGCGCCTCAGTGAGGCGCATGCGTCCAGAAAAAAGGAGGCGGGGCTTGGAGATGATTGACGTTTGACTTGCGCCTACCAGGTGCGGGAGAACTAATGTTGTCTCGTTTATCCTGGAAATGGATGAAGTTACTATCCCAGCTTCACAAATATGAAAACTGAAGAGCAAAGAGATTTAGCTGATGTTCCGAGTAAGTTGTGGGACTGGAATTCGAAACATACTCCCGCTCTGCTAAAGTCTATGGTCTTTTCTTTTGCCAGCACGTTTCTTAGATAGCTGGTGAAGGAAAGGTGTGTAATGATAAAACCTGAAGATAGCAATTACTCCATTATCACTGTCTCACCAGTACACGCTTAGGCGTTTAGATTGCACAGACCCCGTTTCGTGGCGGGCTTAGAGGTTGGGAGCACGGACTTTGTGGAGCTCTGGTAGCGTAGTGGTTACGAGTCGGGCTGCTAACTTCAAGGTCAGAAGTTCAAAACTACCAGCCATTCCGTGGGAGAAAGATGAGGCTTTCTGCTCCCGTAAATCCCGTAAAGATTTACAGCCACGGAAGCCCTGTACAGGGTCGCTATGAGTCGGAACCGACTCCACAGCACACCACCACCATATCTAAGGACAAATCCTGGGTTGCTACTAACAGTTGTTAACCGAATTGATTGCGACTGATGTTGTTGTTATTGTCAGGTGCCATCGAGGCGGAACCGACTCATAGCGACCCCATGAACAGCAGAACGAAACAATGTCCGATCCTGGGCCAACCTCACTACCGCTGCCACACTTGAGTCCATCAATGATGCCACCTGGCCAATCCATCTCGTTAGAGGTCTTCCTCTTTTTCTCTGACCCTCCACCTTACCCAGCATGACATCCTTCTCCAACGATTGTTTCCTCCGGACAATATGTCCAAAGTGTGAGAGACGAAGCTCAGCCATCCTGGCCTCCAAGGAGCACTCTGGCTGCACTTCTTCCAAAACAGATCTATTGGTTCTTTTGGCAGTCCATGGCACTTTCAGTATTCTCCTCCAACACCACAACTCCAAGGCATCAATTCTTCTACGATCTTCCTTATTCACTGTCCAGCTTTCGCATCCATATGAGGCTATTGAAAACACCATGGCCTGGGTCAGGCACACCTTAGTCCTCAAGCTGACATCTCTGCTCTTCAATACTTTAAAAAGTTACTGTGCAGCAGATTTGCCCAATGCAATATGTCTTCTGATCTCTTGACTGCTACTTCCGCGAGTGTTGATAGTTGATCCAAGAAGAATGAAGTCCTTGACAACTTCAATCTTTTCTCCATTGATAAGAATGTTGTTTATTGGTCCAGTGGTGAGGATTTTTGTTTTCTTGACATTGAGATGTAATCCATATCGAAGACTGTGCTCTTTGATCTTCATAAGTGAATGTTTCAAGTCCTCTTCACTTTCAGCGATCAAGGTTGTATCATCTACATATCACAGGTTGTTAATGCGTCTTCCTCCAATCCTGATGCCACGTTTTTCTTCATAGAACCCAGCTTCTCGCATTATTTGCTTAGCATACAGGTTGAATAAGTATGGTGAAAGAATACAACCGCGACTGTTAGCGACCCAGTATAGGGTTTCCGAGGAGCGGCTGGTGAGTTTGAACCACCAACCTTGTGTTTCAAATCGACCTTGCGATCCAGTGCTTATCCTACGGTGCCACACCAAGACTCTAATACTGACAGTGTTGTTGTTGTTAAGTGCCATCGACAGTGAGACATTCTAAAATAAGTGATTTCCCAATTCAGAGTTTCGTTGAATTTTGGTGAGTATTAAACTCTGCATACAGTAGCTGACACGTGGTAAAAATGCAGTTACTGTGTGCCATCGAGTCGGTTCCGGCCCTTAGTGACCCTGTATAGGACTTCCGAGGAGCGGCTGGTGAACTTGAATTGCCGATCTTGCAGTTCAAACCGACTTTGCAGTCCAGCTTTAACCCGCAGTGCCACACCGGGACGCCATAAAAATGCAATAGGTTTTGGTTATTACAGTTCATTTTAGAAGTGATCTTGGAGTCAGATCTTGCTTCAATTCAAGCTTTGCCACTTACTAGCTGAATTTGAGTCTTAATTTTCCTCATGTTCAGTGAAGACATTGGATTCGTGACCTTTAACCGCCTTTCTGCTGGAATGGTTCCAAGCAGTTTTTGTCAAATGGCTGGTTTATGACCCATTTAATCGTACATCTAAGAAGCTCTGGTAGGATAGTGGTTATGAGCAGGACTGATAACTTCAAGGTCAGCAGTTCCACTAGAGAAAAACGAGGTCTCTGCTCCTGTAAAGATTTACGGCCTTCAAAACCCTATACAGGATCGCTATGAGTTGGAAGTGATTCCACAGTACATAACCACCACCACCACCAATCAGACATTTGGTGTGGCACAGTAGGATCAACACTGGACAATGAACCACAAGGTCTGCAGTTCCTCAGCTGCTCCTCAGAAACCCTATACAGGTTCGCTATGAGTCAGAATAACTCTACAGCACTTAACAACAACAACAACAATAGGTCTTGAAACCTATTTAAAAGATGGTAACTAGCATTTTATCAAATAAAAAACAGAATATGTTTTTTTTAAATCCCAGAACATATTACACATTGTCAGTCTCAATTCATGGAACTTTTGTTGAGTTTTGAGTGCAATGTAAAATGTTTTCACACTCTGGGTTACAAGTCAAAAGAATTGGAAGTCACTATTTAGAGTGGAAATGATTTTGTAGAAAGCTTTCATGCTGCCAGGGCGAGAAGAAGAGGTCCCTAAGTGGTGCAAGCAATTGCAATAGGCTGTGAACTAAAAGGAGTCCTATTGGGGCACTGTGGGTTAATGTGCTGGACTGCAAAGTCAGTTTGAACCACAAGGTTGGTGGTTCAAGCTCACCAGCTGCACCTCAGAAACCCTATATAGGGTCACTATGAGTCAGAACCGACTCGACAGCACTTAACAACAACAACAACAATGAACTAAAAGGCTGGCACCCACCCAGAAGTGGTGCTGCAGAAAGTCCTGATGATCTGCTTCCATAGAGATTGCAACCAAGAAAACTACGGAGCAGTTCTACTCTGTAACAAGATTACTTCTAAAATGGATTTGAAGCACTGGATTTGGCGCTTTTGGTGATTGTTTTTGCTGGGAGGAAAAAGACAGAGGGTACAGAGAGAGAGTTGTAGGAGACTATATCCCCTTCACAGGCTACATACTTCAGTAACTCTGGCCTTGGAATGTCCAGACATGACTTGAAATACTCATCATTTCAAATTCCATTCAGAAATAATTTGTTGTCCTATAGTTCAATTCTTTGTGAAATGGGCCAACTTGTTCCTGTCTCGGAATAGTTCAATTCTATTCCTGCTTTCAGGTAAGCAGCCTGCTACACGGCAAATGTTCATTTCATTGAATGATACTCAGCAGTCTTTCTACGACCTTGTCACATCTTAAGACCAAAACAGACCTTACCCAATACACCATCTCACTTTTGGCTCTTCTCCTGTCACCAGGCAAATGGATTCAGGGTATGGAGAGAGAAGGACTTGGGGCCTGTGGTTTTGCTATACCCCTTCTACCTGACCTACTATAATTACCTAAGTTCTGGGCTGATGCCCCAGTGTCATAAAGCCAATTTAGTTCCAGTACAGAACTCGCCTTGTCAGGTCCAAAATGTGAACCGGACTGCCATCTCATTGTGAAGGTTTATTTGGCTAGGTAGCAGAATAGAACATATTTAGCAGTTCGTTGTTGTTAAGTGCCATCAAGTTGGTGCCAACTCATCGCGACCCTGTATAGGGTTTCTGAGGAGCAGCTGTGGGGATGAACCGCCAGCCTTATGGCTCAAACTGACATTGAAGTCCAGCACATTAATTATCCTGAAGAGCCACACCAGCAATTCCTTAGGTTCATTTATAACTTTTTAAGTGTGTCTCTACTTATACCCTTGCCCTGGTCCCAAAAATATTAAGGGTGGCGTGCTAGGCATGATCTGTCATGTATAAAATGAGAATAGTAAGTGTTCCTACTTCATAAGGTTTTATTATGAAAGTAATATGGGACAATGCATTAAAAGTGGTTGGTACACGTGACTCATAGACATATTGGACTATTTACTCACAGACTATACTATACCCAGAAGCAAGACTGTCATCTCAGCACCCTCCTCTGGTTGGAAGGGAAACTGCAGTTGCTAAGGGGATTGGATTAGGAAGATCACCTGGGTTGCAGGGTGGTTTAGCAGTGAAATGGAATCATGCTTTGGGCTTCTGCTTATTACCCCCTCTGGTACTCCAAGAGCTCTGGTGGTGTTTTGGGTTACCCGTGGGGCTGCCAACCACAAGGTCAACAATTCCAATCCACCAGCTGCTCCACGGGAGAAAGTTTCACTGAGTCGGAACTGACTTGACATTCTGCCACGACACCCCTATGCTATAGGGATAGCGGAAGACAAAGGGGATTTCTGACTGACTTCTAGGACTCCCTGGGGTGGATGTTGAGTCAGTTCTTATTCATAGCGACCCTTACTAGGATTTCTGAGAAGTGGCTAGTGGGTTTGAACTGCGGACCTTGTGGTTTGCAGTCAGTGCTGAGCCTACAGCATTATATCGGGATATCTGAGGACAGATGAGATTTCTGACTAATTTCTAGGACTGCCCTGGAGTAGGTAGAAAAAAAATCATTTTTTCCTCCTCTCATTCCCAGGCTCTATCTTGAAAACATTTCTATAGCTCAAGGACTACTGGGAGAGACAAATTGGTTTCTGGTTACTTTTGACTGTCCCTTTGTTGCAGAAATATGTTGTTGTTAAATGTCATCAACTCAGTTCTACCTCATAGCAACCCTGTATAGGATTTCCAAGGAGCAACTGATGGGTTTGAACCAGTGCTTATCCACACCAGGACTCCCATTTAAAGGATGTTGTTGTTGTTATGTGCCATTGAGTCATATCTGACCC